TGCTGGTTGCCTTGGGCGTTTAATTCTTTTGCACTCCAGAAAAGGTTGTCATAAATTAGTTGAGCTAGATGCGGCACAAATGTAACTTTGGTGCTACATTTATCTCCTAACAGAATTCGTAAGTTAGTGATCATATGCAGTAAGTGAAATTCCAAGGATTAAAATTGTCGTACATAAATACATGAACTTTGGAAGCAAACTCTCTGGATAATTAATATTAAAAGAAGTCGCTACTTATTCTCGTATTTTTAAATCTAGGAGATCAGACTTTAAATCTGTTCAGTCTGTCGGATTCTGTTATACAAATATTGTATGATTGTTTGAAAGTATTCTTCTACAGTATGACATAAGAGATCAGGAGAAGGGGAAAGTGAAAATTCAGGCCACATTGAATGAATGATCTTTCCCAGTATCATTAGATTGTAAGCTTTAGTAGACTTTTTCAAATTAAAGGTATATTAGTATTTTGATTGAGGGTTCGAACACCCTTCCACCACCAAGTACTGCTCTTTTATCCAACAACAAATCCGGTTTAATCCCACAAATGGGGTCAGAAAAGAGTAGTGTGTACACAAACCTTACCTCTACCTGGTGGAATAATGCTCGTTTATCCAAACAGGAAAAAAAGAAGGAAAAAAAGGTTACTTTAAAAGCACTGATCTTTTATTTTAACAAAAATGTGACTGTAATAATAACGAAAGTAAGCAGGAAATGGAGACATGCTAGTGTCCACTGGGAGAAAAAGTCCAAGGCAAATTATTTGTCCAATCAATACTGGAAATGGAGTTCTAACATTCTTCTTTACTACACTTTCTCCCGCAGAGATGGTCTTCCTATTTAAACTAATAGGATGGACATTCCTTCCTCTATAAATGAACAAATCAACTATACAATGTATCTCGTGCCATTTTCCTTGTAATATATTATGACAAGACTCTCAAACAGCAGGTATTGAACCTTTTGGAGAGGCAAAAACAGAAACAGAAAAGACAAAAATAACGATCTACGACCTAAAAGTAAACAGCTAAGTATGTAATGGCTTTCAACACATAACTGATCTTACAAAAAGGAGAAGTAATTGAAGGGTTGGTGAGAAGTGTGTTCCAGCTTCCTTTGACCACACTTAAACCCCTTACCAACAAATGGCCGATGATCTTGAGCAGCATAGTGCCCCGAGAGTGGAGAGAACCAAGACAACAACCAAAAATTAATATGTACATCTTTATTGTGTCACAGTTCTACTTCATGTAGATCTTCACCAAATCTACCACCATTCATCGAGGAGTGCATCAAATTAGCATCACTAGGCATGAATGATGATGGAGGCATACCCAATACCTCACCAAGTGGTTTTACTTCAGATTTATTTGGGGTGAAAGCATCAGAAATGCCTCCGCTCCATGATGCAGTTCTCCGTGACTGACTTGACAGGTGGCTAGGTCCAGTAGTTACCCCCTTCTTAGAGATGCTGTCCATGCTTGGAAATCTCTGCATAGGCATGGTTGATGGAGGTGCAGGTGACTGGAATGACCCATTCACAACAGAGATTGAATTATTCTCACTATTTCCTGAAGTCTGTTGCTCATTGGAATGACTGTCAACTGTTTGTTCAACAGGGGACATTGGCGTAGGAACAAAGAACTTTGCATTTCCAGTAGCAGGTTTCATGGAAGGAACAGAAGGCGATTGGAAAAGATTTGTTGGATTACCTCCACCTTTATTGAATGTGTCAACATACCTGCCAAAAGAGGGATGAGAATAGTAGGTCAGCTTTCTCTAGTTGAGTCACAGCAGGAAACACTATATGCACTTTGACCTCCTAGAAATACTAGCTTTCATCGCCTATGTCCATATTTGTAGATTAAAACTAATAACACAGTCAATGAAATAAAGAAGCTGGATGCAAAAACATCTAAACTAATAGTTCCCTCATCATTTTCATTAACAAATCACTAGGAACAGATAGCTGCAATAACCTAACATATATCTTCAGATGTAAAACCAAAAAGATTATAAAGCTGTCTGCTGCTTTTTTTGAGAAGGAAGCACTTTGTCTGCTCCTTGTTAAATCGAATTATGTATTTTATAATTTTGATCTGCCAGGAAGGACATCATCAAGTAATTAGTCCAAGTAGACACTCTATACTCCTTCTGATCAGAACAATTCCTTGTCAGTTCGTCCCAAAATCCTTACTTCTTTCCTTCCATGACAAAGCTGTCTCCCTCCAACAATTTAAACTAAGACAACTCTTCACAAAGCAACTTACTTTTTTTAAGTCCAAACTAAATTTTAATCATGTTCTTTTTCTAACTTAATATTAATAATCTATTAAAGCAAAATACTTTATTCTTCGTGCAGTCAAACCACGTCATTTTAACAGGATAAAGGTGTATCCAGGATCCGAACACCAAGGTAACCAAAGAGCAGACTCACAGTTAACCTAAGCCACCAAAAAAAATCAGCTGGCCCCTTCTTATTACTTCAACAATAGTATGTTCCCAATGGTCATATATCCTACTGAAACATTGAATCATCCGATATACTTCTATAAAGGAACACGCCAATATCACTTGCCTTGACCGAACACCCATCCGACTGCGTGCTGAGAATTGGTTAGTGGTCGGTGGAAGTGGTGGGATTCCTGAACCATTATCAGCAGAAGGTGGGCTCTTCATGTCTGGACTTCCGTTGCTAATAGAACCTTCACTTTTTAGTACAATATTCAAGTTATAATCAGGTGCCCCGCTCTGGAAAGCAGCAGTGGTTGGTGGTGGTGCTAGAGCTGGTTCCTCAGCAGGAGGCGCAGCACCTTCTTCAACCCATCTTTTAAGTTTTTCATCATAATAAAATTTATTTGTTTCACCCAGTTTGGCCTAAAATGGATCATAACAAATGGAAATAAGTGTGAAACACAAATCCAGAGGATCACAATGTAGAAAATAACAGAGCGAAACCTCATAAAGAAACAATGTACCTGACGGCCTTGTCGGGGTTTAAGGACTAATCCAACCGTTTTTTGGAGAAGCTGAGAGCCAAAACTAAAGCGACCAAAGCGTGATCTACCTGCAGCTGCTGATGAATTACCTGGTGTGTTACTTGAGCTTGCTTCCTTTGATGAGTCGACATGATCCTATACAAATTGAACAAAAAGTTCATCTTTTTTTAAGAGCAGACAGATCACGCCCAATTAGCCACAGGGTAATACCATTACATACCTGTCTAGGAGTTCTTCCAAAGTCGGGCTCTGAAACACTTCTATTGTGCATCGTCATTCTATTGTTGTCAGCTGCCCAGTCACTTATTTTCTCCATGGATGCTGAAGGCATCAAAGATGACATTGCCATTGTCGATTGACTATTTGAGACTCTAGGTCCCGCAGACTGATAATGATGTTCATTCCCTTGTGGACTGCCGCTGCTTGTTGAAGGAACTGGCGGTGGTAAGCCCCCAACCACACGGTGAGCAGTGCTATCAAAAAGGTTAAGCAATTTACCAACCAACTTTGCAGGAGCCAAATTAGTGGCAAACCCTCCCTGCATGCAGAAAGTTCCCACTATAATTATCTGTGGACCATCATATTACAAAGGTAAGTGTATCAAGGGCTACCTCTTGGTGTGTTTTGATCCTTTCTTCAAGAGACGACACTAATTGTCTCAATGTTTCTATCTCAGGAGCTCGGCCAGTTTTAAGCGATTTAGATAATGCTTGACAATACCTAAAAATTAGAAATGATAAGCCACCAGCAGTAAGGATTTCCAAAAAATTTAAAGTAGAAGTAAAATCTTGGATACATACTTCAACGCATCTGGCGTTCTCCCAACTTCAGCCAACATGTGTGCATATAAAAGCTTGTAAGGTTGAAAAGGAGGAAGAATAAATTGAGAGTTTCCAAGCACCTTTGAGTATTC